TTTTGAGTGCATACTATTATAAGGAGAAGCTCTGGTGGCATAGTGCCTAAGGCATTTGACTGCTAACCAGAAGGCTGACGGTTCAAACCCACCAGCCACTCTTCAGAAGGAAGGTTGGGCAATCTACTTCCATAGTGATACTGCCTTGGAAACCCAAGGAGGGGTCACTATGAGTCAGATCCAATTCGACGGCAGTGTGTTGCATTGTTGCATTACTATTATAAGGCAGTGAACAAGACCTGCTGTTACTGCAAAATAAAATAAATAAATAAAAATTAGGACATGGTTTCTATCCTAATAGAAGTTTGGTTTGGTGGGGAAGATAATCATTAATTATTTGGCAATTAATTAATTATAATTTTGATAAATCAAATGAAAAGTTAATATAGGGTTGTTGTTAGCTGCCACTGAGTATACTCCCAATCATGATGAGCTTATGTATAACAGAAGGAAAAATTGCTGGGTCTTGCATCATCGTAACAATCACCAGCATATTGGAGTCTATCATGGCATCAATGGCCCTCTATTTCACCAAGCATGATGTCCTCTACTAGCAACTGATTTCTCCTAATGACATTTCCAAAGCAAATGAGCTGGACAATGATCTGTTGTGGTTCATAAGGTTTTCATTCTTATATTCAGAAGTAGATCTCCAGGCCTTTTTTCCTATTCTACATCAGTCTGGAAGCTCTGTTTAAATCTGTACACTATGGGTGACTGTGCTGGTACTTGAAATAGTACTGGCATAGCTTTCAGCATCATAGCAACATGTAAGCCACCACAGCACAACAAAATGACAGAAGGGTGGTAGAGTTTAGGGTACTATGGAGCATATGAAAGGCTTTTGTAAGGAATTGTTTAAGCTGACTTTAAACAATGAATGGGATGGGGAATGGAAAGGCAAAGAACATTCTAGTTCAAGGAAACAGTGTATTAGAGACTCTTGAGAGAGGAGCATAGTATGTTTTGGAAGTGAGGGAAGGCCAGATGGCTAACACAAAGAAAGAAAATGGAAAAACAGCTCAAAATAAACCAAGAATAACCTAAGATGTGCACTTGGGAAGGATCACTGTGGCTGCCTTATGAAGGATATGTTGGAAGGCAGCAAGTCTGGATTCAGACAGACCTATTAGGAGGCTTTTTCATTAATCAAGACAAACAAGGAAGGTAGCTGGGACTAATTTTTTGGGAAAAATTAAGAATCCCTTATATTTTGTAAATATACTCCCCCACCAGAAACAGCTAGGGCAGGCCAGGAGGCAGGAGCCAGTGGCAGGCCGGAACAGCCAGGGGAGGCCAGGAAGCAGGAGTGGAGAGGTTTGGAACAAACAGCTAAGGGAGACAAACTTGTCTGTCAGTTTGTCGTACTGTGGTGGCTTGCGTGTTGCTGCGAGGCTGGAGGCTATGACACCAGTATTTCAAATGCCAACAGGGTTAATCACAGTGGACAGGTTTCAGTGGCGCTTCCAGACTAAGACAGACTTGGAAGAAGGAAGACGCCATCTACTTCTCAAGAATTGGCCAGTGAAAACCTTAAGAACAGCAGCAAAACAGTCTGATATATTACTGAAAAACTTTATGAATAGCCCTGAAACACTGTGTGATATAGTGCCAGAAGATGAGTCCCTCAGGTCAGAAGGCACTCAAAATATGAATGAGAAAGAGCTGCCTCCTCAGAGCAGAGCCGACCTTAATGATGTGGACAGAGTAAAGCTTTCGGGATCTCCATTTGCTGATGTGGCATGACTCAAATGAGAAGAAATAGCTGCAAACATCCATTAATAATCAGAACATGGAACATACGAAGTATGATTTAGGAAAATTAGAAGTTGTCAAAAATGAAATGGGATGCATAAAGATTGATATCCTAGGCATTAGTGAGCTGAAATGGACTGGTTTTGGCCATTTTGAATCAGACAACCATATGATCTACTACGCTGGGAATGACAAATTGAAGAGGAATGGTGTGGCATTCATCATCACAAAGAATGTTTCAAGATCTATCCTGAAGTATGATGCTGTCAGTGATAGGATAATATCCATATGCCTACAAGGAAAGCCAGTTAATACTACTGTTATTCAAATTTACACACCAACCACCAAAGCCAAATATGAGGAAATTAAAGATTTTTTACCAACTTCTGCAGTCTGAAATTCACTGAACATGCAATCAAGATGTGTTGATTATCAGTGATGACTGGAATACAAAAGTTCGAAACAAAGAAGAATCACTGGTAGTTAGAAAATATGGCCTTGGTGATAGAAATAACACTGGAAATCACGTGATAGAATTGTGCAGGACCAATGACTTATTCATTGCAAATACCTTTTTGCAACAATGGAAATGGTGGCTATACAAGTGGACTTCACCAGATGCAGTACTCAGGAATCAGATTGACTATGTCTGTGGCAACAGGCAATGGAGAAGATCAGTATCTTCAGTCTTCAGCCAAAACAAGGCCAGGAACTAACTGTGGAACAGACCATCAACTGCTCATATGCAAGTTCATGTTGAAGTTGAAGACAATTAACACAAGTCCATGAGAGCCAAAATTTGACCTTGATTATATCCCTCCTGAACTTAGAGACCATCTAAAGAATAGATTTGATGCACTAAACACCAATGATCAAAAACCAAAGTAATTGTGGGATGATACCAAGAACATCATCCATGAAGAAAACAAAAGGTCATTAAAAAGTCAGGAGACGAAGAAAAGACCAAAATGGATGTTAGAAGAGACACTGAAACTTGCCCTTGAACAGAGAGTAGCTAAAGCAAATGGAAGAAATGACAAGATAAAGGTGCTGAACAGAAGATTTCAAAGACCAGCTCGAGAAGACAAAGTCAATTAGTATAATGAAATGTACAAAAGACCTGAAGTTAGAAAACCAAAAGGGAAGAACACACACACCATTTCTCAAGCTGAAAGAACTAAAGAAAAAACTTAAGCTTTGAGTTTAAATATTGAAAGATTCTATGAGCAATATATTGAATGATACAGGACACATCAAAAGAAGATAGAAGGAATACACAGAGTCACTGTACCAAAAAGAACTGGTTGATGTTCATTCATTTCAGGAGGTGATATATGATCAAGAACCAATGATACTGAAGGAAGAAGTTGAAGCTGCACTGAAGGAATTGGCCAAAAAACAAGGCTCCAGGAATTGATGGAATACCAATTGAGATGTTTCAACAAATGGAAGCCATGCTGGAGGCACTCACTTGGCTATGCCAAGTGATTTGGAAGACAGCTACCTGGCCAACTGACTGGAAGACATACATATTTGTACCCATTCCAAAGAAAGGTGATCCCACAGAATGTGGAAATGAATGAACAATATGATTAATATTGCACACAAGTAAAATCTTACTGAAGATAATTCAAAAATGGTTGCAGCAGTATGTTGACAGAGAACTTCCAGAAATGTAAGCTGGATTCAGAAGAGAATGTAGAACAAGGAATATCATTGCTGATGTCAGATGGCTCTTGGCCCAAAGCAAAGAGTATCAGACAGATGTTTACTTGTGTTTTATTGACTATGCAAAAGCAATCAACTGTGTGGGTCATAACAA